TTGAGCGAAAGGAAACAATAAGCAATTTTCTTGCCTTAAAGTTGCCTTAAAATTTGCATTTTTTATTGCCTTTAGCAACAGGGAAAAGGAGCACAGGGGAACTGCTCAGAGTTGATTGTGGTGTCGAGCACAGTTGGTGGCTTATTTTTCCTATGCACTTTCAGACATTCTGTGAGTAACAACGTTGTCTAGAACAGATGTCAGGGAATGGGAATTTCTTCAAAACTGGTAGATGCTAAACAGCCGACAACATGTTACTTTGATTTTGTTTTGAAAATAATTTAGCAATATGGTTTAACAAACATAAATACAATACACAATAAGACCATTATGACAGAAGTACATTTTGAAACATACATTTAAGTATGTATATTAACATGAATGTAATATATCCCTGCTGAGCCATCTATTAATAAACACTTTCATTACCCGAACCCTTCTGTTAATGTGGCCCTCGAACATTCTAACCCTTTTCTCAATATAACCTCACAGCTACTTTAAACCTCCATTAATACATATCTACAGCATCCTAAATCAGAAAACTGCATCTGTCTCAACCACTCTCTGTGGCAGATTTAATGAAGAAACTTCGAATTTCTCCCTTCATTCTATTAGTGAGCATTTGAAATTGTTGAACTTTTGTCACTAATTCCCCAGCAAATGAAATATGCTTTCTCTATTCTCCAGGTTAAAACATATGTAGTTTAAGAGGAGCAAAACTTATATCTCCTCAGCCCAATCTATTCCAATGAAAGTATAGTGGTCCTAATATCTCACATCTATCCTCATAATTATTTCCCTCTAGTGTCATCATCCTGCTGAGACTAAACTGTGCATAACCAATGACCCAAATATTGTTTTTAAAGGATGGAACTGTACACAGTAACATACAAGTGTGTGTTTGAATCCTAGATCTCACTTTTCAGCTTCTTCATTGAATGAGTATTCCCAGTCCAAGTTGTTTTCTTCTAAACTAAAAACAAAGAACTGTGAATGTTGGAGATCTGAAAGAGAAACAGAAATTGCTAGCAAAAGTCAGCAAATCTGGTAGCATCTGTGGGAGAAAGCAAAGTTAATGTTTCCAATACAGCATCTCTTCTTCATTTTTTTTTCTCGTCTAATGTGGATTATTCAAGACATCTTTAAATTAAATAACAATTCTCACTATCAGCACCTTCCACAGACCTGTTAATTTCACCTATTAATTCGTCTACCTATTAATCTAATACGGTCCTCATTGTTTGGTAAACATTTTATTTTGGGTGATTAGTAAATGTTACTGTGCTCCCTATGCCTGTGCTCGAATAATCTACATACTCAAAACAAGAATTGACCTATCATTGACCACCGGGCACATCACTTAACTCACCTCCAATCTAGACAGCCAGTCTGAGCATGGTTATTATCCTGAAGACATCCTTGAAATGTGTGTGCTTAGATACCTGGCTGTTGGTTTACACTGTACATAAAGGCCTCATCTGTCCTCTGAAGTTGATGCTAACGATCGACCAAGCCCAATATGAAGAACAGCAAAGGAGTTTACCCCATGTCCTTTTTCATATTCATTCCTCAATCAACACCTAAAACAAATCATTTAGTCATTATCAAATTGCTTTTGAAGGGATTTTGCTGTACATAATTTGTCTGCTGTATTTCCTGCACTTCCAAAGGGGGAATGTGGTGGTGTAGTGGTAATATCACTTGACTAGTAGTTGAGGGACCCAGTCCATTATTCTGAGGACATGACTTCAAATCCCTTCTTAGCAGATGGCAGAATTTGTTCATTTGAAAAATATCTGAAATTAAAAGCTGAAGTAAGGTGACCATGTAACTATTGTTGCAAAAACCTACGTGGTTGACTACTGTCCTTTAACGACGGTAATCTGTTGTCTTTCTCCATTTGGTCCTACATGTGAGCCCAGACCCACAGCAATGTAGTTGACTCTTAACTGCATCCTGAAATAGCCTTCACAAGCCATTCAGTTCGATGGACAATAAATGCTGGCTCAACCAGTGATGTCCGCATCCCATGATCAATTTTTAAAAAACCCCAAAACATACTCCAAATGTCATTGTGGTATCCTGAGATTGTGAAAGGAAGTATACAAATGAAAGTCTGACAGGACAGGGATCAGGTTTGACTCCATAATCAAAAAATCTGCTAGCATTCATTGTCTGGCTTGTATCTGAATAACTGGCAGAGATACTGCACGGAGACCAATTGCCATGGTTGCACCTAAACTAAGATCTTAATTCCCACAAAATGGAAGCAAGGAGTCTTTGCATTAAAGGGGAAATGCAAATATTCAGTGTTTCTCAGGATTATTGAATCGGTGTTAAAATGACTGCCATTCTTCAGCTTCATTCAATGTGCACAAGGCACAGTTCTGAAAGAAGGGTCACCGTACTTGAAATGTTATCCCTGTTTTCTGTGCCAGTCCTGCTGAGTTTCTCCAGTAACTTATGTTTTTATCTGTTGCACAATGTTGCACTGTATGTTCTTTTAGTATTTATAAAACTGCAGTGAATCATAAGTTAAGATTCATGCAACCAGATGGGGATTTGGCCGAAGTTGAGTCTGAAATGGTTAATGCTGTTTTGTTGAGCAAAAAGGCAGCACAGTCCAGCTGCTCACGTGTCAAGCACAGCCACAGCCATTAAACTCCCTCTCTGTGATAAGATGGAATTAGTGACCCATGATATGTTACCCCCACACCAACCCCACGGATGGGACAGAGATACGCTTCACCTCCCTGTCTCTTACAGTATCCCCACTGCAGACACAGAATGGTCAGTTTGTGAGCTATTGCTTTTATTCACTTACTTTGTGAACTGTGTTTTCCTGTCTCGTTTTCCTGTTTAAGTTTGGAATTCTCCTGAACACATGACAGCAACATAAAAGTTTTATTTTCCACTTATATTGCAAAGCTATTTTCATTTGATGATATCTTAGCTGCAGTGCACTAACATTACCAGCTTACGCTGGGAAGTAAAACTTCAACTGTAACCCAGAAAGTCCACTGTGTGTAACTGCTCAGAAATAGAGATTGGGACTCTTTTTTTTGTGGTTATTTCTAATCTCACCAATCGAGAAAAGGTGTATCTAGATTAATTACATGTCCTCATTCCATGGTCTTCATTTCAGAACTAGCTCAATAGTCCAATAGAAGTCGTCAACTGACAATGTTAAATTTAAGTTACATCACACACTCACTTGTCAGTGAGTAACACAGTCTTTACCCTTTCAGTAAATGACCTACCCTCATTTTATGATTGTACTTGATCAGCCATATTAACTGCTTTCCTTGATCACTGAAAAATTACCTCAAGAAGCAAGCTTTTTGAGGTCACAAACATTGATCATTCTTATTTTCCCTTTTCATACAAAGGTTTATCCCTCCTTTTCTGACGGAATTAAAATCATTGCTTATGTGCATCTCCACAGCTATTCATCATCTCTCAGTCCTTCTGTCAACCACAGATTCTTCAGGTACAAACCCAGACGGTAAGCATTGGCAGATCATTAGATGACATTGATGAAGGTTCCTCAGGATCTGCATCTTTGATAAAACAAAGAACTGCAGATGTTGGAGATCTGAAACAAAAACAGAAATTGCTGGAGAAACTCAGCAGGTCTGACAATAACTGTGGGAAGAAAACAAAGTTAACGTTTCGAATCCAGTGACTCTTCATCAGAACTTTAGTGTTCTGGTGAACAGTCATCAAATTCGAACTGTTAACTCTTCTTTCTCTCCACAGATGCTGCCAAGCCTGCTGAGTTTCTCCAACAATTTCTGTTTTTGTTTCTGTAAGTTTGACATGGCTTCCTGTTGATAAAATTAGGCTGATTTCTGTTGGCATGAAATATCTTGAATGTGTCCTAGTTGATGTTTTAACATCTTAGTTTACTTTGCCTGTTTAACAACTGGCCTGAACAAGTGGGACTGCCAGCAAGAATACATCGGTAAACCTTGGACCTTGCCTGGCTGAGCCTGTTTTAGACGAGACCCAGGCCTGATTAATTAATGCCTTGTCACGTCTAGATTGGAGGCAGTTTATTATTATGCATCCAGTAGGAAAGCAGTGCTTACAGTGCTGGATTATGGTAATAAGTAACTCGCCTACTGCCAGAGCATATATTCTACTCAACCTATCACTGCAGAGATCACACAATTTCAGTATCTTTAAACTTCTCATTGTCTTTCCATGAAAACCTCTAATTTCCTGCCAGTAGACTGATGTTTACTTCTCAAGTTATCATCATGTGGTAGTACATGTTGCCTTTATTAAGTTTCTCTTTAAATATTTCCACATTGCCTTTGGTACCATACAGTTGTAGTCACCATCTGGTATCTCACTGAAGTCATTCTTTATGTATAGAGATGGTATGTGCCTATCAGCAAGTTATCCAAAGCAGCTGGAAAAGCTCAGCAGGTCTGGCAGCATCTGTGAAGAAAAAATCAGAGTTAACGTTTCGGGTCCAGTGACCCTTCCTCAGACCTGCTGAACTTTTCCAGCAACTTTGTTTTTGTTCCTGATTTACAGCATCCGCAGTTCTTTCAGTTTTTATTTATCAAGTTATTCAACTGTGGTGTCATCAGAATCAAATCCCATCGTATCCTTGATCATGGTCACTGGTGGACCCAACCACAATAATTCCTTGATCAGGAATCCCTGGATTTTAAGCAGGAGTCCATGTGATCAGAAATCATTGGATATTAAACAAGTGTTCAGGGATTCTTGGGTATAAAACAGAGGTCCTGGGTTAGGGTTCAGAATTTGTGGGTGGCGACCAAGAATCTCTTTTCACTTGAATTTTTAACATTATGTGCTTTCTTGAACATGTTTAAAGCCATGAAGAAACGAACCAGTCAGATTTCTTGTGTTAGCAAGTAAGCAGTTGTTTTATGATGTTAGAAAATAATCTCAGTTAAAAGTATAAATGATATTAAAAAGGTAAAACCTGTCATGAAACCGTTGACATACAAACATAAGGCATGCAAGCAAACAAAGCATGTTACAGGGTTAGGGTTGTAGCATTGGGAAAAAAGTTAAGGTCCATAAGTAAAATGAATTATACATCCTGATGGTGGTATTAAAGTCGCAGTCTGTGTGGGTCAACCTCCTTGTACTTCTGGAAACAGTTTCTTTTTAAACTGCATTTAACCCTTTGCCACAGTGCGTGCTATGCCACTTGGAGTTTCTTTTATTTTTATATTTTCTATTTCTGTGATGTCTTCCAATTCGTTAGAGAGGTAGACTCTGAGTTTTTAAAATCTGCTGAGAGATCAGGTTATTCCATCCTACAGGTCTTCCTGTTATTATTACCTTTTGTAGTCAACAGGCAAATTTATAATTATGATGTGGGGGTTGGAAGGTGTTGATTGTGCAGTAGCTGACTATTGATTCACAATGGAGGCAATCCATATTAACTAAGGAGTTTCAATCTGCCACTTTCAAAGTCAACAAGAGGCCATTGAAACAAAAGAAGATCCTCACCACCCTTTTTCCATCATTGATTTCAGTAAGTTCCTTTTTTGTCTCTGACCATTCCCGCAGCTGAGTTGTATGGTGCATGTTGTCAGTTTCAACTATCCTAATGCAAGTCAGTTTGTTGGCAACATTGTTGAGGTGTCCATCTTGTAACTTCCTACAACACTCGCCCATCTTGTAGATCAGCTGTCTTTTCCAACTTTTTATAAAAACACTGCATCCTTGCTCATTTGGAAGGATGTTCATCTAAACAAAAGCCACATATATTAGATCAGTCAGTGGGACAAAAGATTAATCATCCAAATATTAAAATTTCAACCACGAATTGCTGAATACCAATCAGGAATCCTTGAATACTGACCAGCAATCCTTGGACCATGATCAGGAGTTCTTGGATAAGGATCCACAATCTGTGAATAGTGAACTGGAATCACCACAGGATTATGAAATCCAGGTTAGCTTTATTTCTCTCTCACTTGCCTATACACACTGAGATCATTTCTAGTATCCAACAGCCAACCTGGCTGTGTACAGTCTAGAATCTCCCTGATGTGAGTGGATGGATCCTCACTATAATTCACCTTGGAGAAAGATACATCTATTAGATTTGCCGCATGCATCCTCCTACCTGGTAGGGATTAACAGGGCTTGGTTAGTCTGGTGTGGTAGAGGACAAACACTTGGTAGTCTATTGAGAAGAGGCTCTTGTTTTGAACAAGATACAGTCAATTGCATGATAGCAACCAGGCACAAGTTATATTGGTATGACAGACATTGTCACTGAGTCTCATATGACCTCGTTCATATGATATCAACATATTTGGCAATACTTAAAGGACGCCACAGCTACAACCCTTTCAGACCTTTGCACCCCTACACAACAAACGGCTTAGTACCACACACAGTTTTCACCATCTAATTCTGTCAAGTGATTATATTCTTTTAAAGCAGGACTTAAAGATGAGACTGTATCTTTCAGACTGAAACAGAATCCAAAATGTTTACTTACAATATAAATTCTTACAGTCCTCTCATGACAAATTACTTTCCCATTCCACACACTACAAGTCATTACTATTTATTAGGCAATATATCACCATGAATTTTTCAACACTATTCTCTTTGGGTGTTGAGTGAATAGTTGAACAGAGCAACCCTACACTTAGGAAACAATAGGAGGGCAGAGAGATTGCAGGCAACAGCAAAGAGTCTGAAATTGCTGCAACAAAGCAGAACACTTCCCAGTCGATCATTGTGTGTGATTCAGTGGGAAGTCTAAATGGGTCATTAATGTGATCTGTGTAAAATTCTGACCTCATTGTAACCTTTACACTCAGTGTTTCTTTGTATTGAACATTTTACAAACAGGATACCATGCAGGCATATGGTTCCTCAATCATTCTTTTAACATTGAGCTTTGAGCATTGTGTGGCTGTTTGCCGATTGAATTACATTTTATTCTCCATAGTGGCATAGTCCCTGGAACAGCAGTTAATGTACAGGCTTCATGTTCCTCACTGTGCTACTTTTAACATCAATGAAGCTTCAGTAAATTAAACACAGAGCAGAAAAAGACCATTCGATTTCATTAAGAATTATCAGAAACAGAATTGTCTGCCCCTCACTGGTTTAATTATGGTTTAATTCAAAACAGCTTCTTAAAAAGACATTTTGATTGTCTTTGAGACTGTCGCACTATTTAACAATATTGTCCAATAAAATGTAGATTGAAGTTGTTTTTTACAGGACTCACAGTGACAGCTTATTGAACATGTCACTTAAATCTGAAACAGGTCCAGATTCAGGTGTACACATATAAATATTTATTTGGATCTAATGTTTCTGATAAGTGGGGAATTATGTCCTATTTTTATACCTTCCTTCTCTGAACATATTTCAGCTGTCAATGCTGGCCATCCCAGTGGCATTTTATATTTGTCTCAGCTGTTTTGCAAACCCAGCGGCACTCACAAAATGATGCACGCCTTCAGCACGTTTGGAGAAGCACTGCTCACCAGCACTAATTCAATCAACAGCACAGGAATTATTAAAACCGCAACAGCCCCCACATTCTACCACACGTCTGCTGATATAGACAGCAGAAAGACCAAGTTCATGTTACAGGCCTCAGTTGCCTCAATGGTGGCGATAAAACATGAAGATCATTGGAGCATCTTTGAAACAAGAGTATTGATGTTACAGCATTCTAGCTATCTTCATCTAACTGATACATTCATGCACCATGTGATGGAATGTCCAGTGTTCATCGCTGATATTCTGGTCTACATAGAAGTAAGTTCAGTCATCAGTGGGACACATGTAGCTGCAAAAGGCAGGAAGCAATACGATAAACTGAATTGAACTAGCTGTTTCTGACATAGGATGTTCTCTGAGCAGCTGAAAATGTAGGGCTTGCAAACACGTGGGCAGAGATTGCAACCTCTATTAGGTTTGTACTACATTCTGCCTGGTACAGAATCACCATCATCAGATGCTAACTGTGGTGACAAAATGATTTGGAAACTATAGTCCACCAGTGGTGTTGTCAGCTGAAATGTTTAGCCTAAGGAATAAAGGCTTGGAGATCCGTTCTGAAATCACAACCCTCTAATGAGGGCTCAATAAATTTCTTGTTTTGATATCCAGACAAGGGTGAATGCAATAAATTCCCCACCTGCACAAGCTAACCTTCATCCACTTTCAGATTCAACTTGTCCCCCATTCTGCACGGTCACATTCTACCCATGTAATTATGACAGATGAGTCCCGAGGGTGAATATTAGAACTTAGCAGGCCTTGGTGATAAATTCGAGGTTACAATGGGAAAATTCTCAAAGCAGAAAATATTCAAATCCACATTCTAATGTTTGCGGCACAGTCATTCAGTGGTTAACACTGCTGCCTCACAGTGCCAGGGACCTGGGTTTGATTCCAACTTTGGACAACTGTCTGTGTGGAGTTTATACATTCTCCCCATATCTGCGTGGGTTTCCTCCGAGTGCTCCAGTTTCCTCTCACAATCCAAAGATGTGCAGATTAGGTGGATTGTCCATGTGAAATGCAGGGTTACAGGGATAGGGTAGGAGGGATTGGGTCTGGGTCAGATGCTCTTTGGAGGGTTGATGTGGACTCAATGGGCCAAATGGCCTCCTTCCACATTGTAGGGATTTTATGATTCTATATTGAGTATTTTTTTTTGTTGAAAGAAAGCCACCAACAAGAGGACCAAGAGAAACATGGAAATGGTCTGTCATTTCCATTATTCCTTCATTGAAGTGCCAGTGAGAAAAGGAGCACCAGATATGGGTATGCTGTGTTTGTACAGATGTACATTATGTTAACCTGAGTGATGCAGGATACAATGCAGTTCAACTCTGACATCAAGGGCGATATTTTGACCAAAGACTGTTGTCAAAGATTGGTTGAAGTGTAGCAAGAGGCCTTACCGCTAAACTCTTTGTGAAACTGAGTTATAATTAGATACTGACAACTTAAGTGCTGTCAAGAGTGGATCTGATCTTTAGGAATATGAAAATACATCTCTGCCTGAGGTGCCAAGTTATGTGTTACAAACCATCAGGTTATAACAAGGAACCCAGCAGGCCCTGTGAAGTGAAGGGTACAACTTTTCCTTCTTGCTCGACCTCTCACATATCCAAGATTTGCTGTGGACGTTGTAAGATCCTCTCACAGGTATTTCTTGCTGCCCTGAGTTTGCTGCTGCAGAGAAGTCAATGGAGGAGGATGAAGTGACAAGACTCTCTGTTTTCTGTCCAGTTGACAACTTACCAATTCTGAATGCGTTAAGCTTGCTATGAAAAAAGATACTTTGGCCTATTTCTGACTTCTTTTTCCCTTATTTGAAGACTGTCTTATGGGTTCAGACGGTGTATCTTACAACTACCAACATGATTTTGCCTTGCTTTTCCCTATAGCTTTAACCAAACCAAACAATAGGCTTTTCCCAGAAAGTGGAAGTTCAATAGTTGATGAGTTAACTCAAAATGAAATTGTGTAAATGTTAGTATTGAATTGCTCACTGCATGATAGTTTTAAACAACAAGTTGTGTGTAGCAGATCCCTCTGCATTCCACAAAAGTTAACTTACACTCACGCATAGTTTCTCTGAAAGCTGTGGTAACAGAATTTTAAACAGGTTAAAGTCTTCATTAAAATAGTGGTTCCAAGAATTGTAAATGATGCATTAACAAGATAATGTAATGTAAGTAAGAACATTGCATCAGCGATTGATTCATTAACCATTGGAGTCTTGTCCCAAAAGTGTCCCTTCTTTTGAATTAAAGAAACATCCAGTCCTTGAAGACAAACTAATTTCATTTTTATAAGGAATGAAAACAAGAAGTGGAACTCAAAAAAAAATGCTGCTGCAAAAATGTTATCAAAAGAACTTTTGTTTGAATGCTGACATTCAAAAAAAACTTTTGTGTATCTCTACTTTCATTCTAAAAGTATAATCCCAAGCAACTCAGTGGTTAGCACTGCTGCCTCACAGTGCCAGGGACCTGGGTTTGATTCCAGCCTTGCGTGACCGTCTGTGTGGAGTTTGCATGTTCTTCCCATGTCTGTGTGGGTTTCTTCAGGGTGCTCCTCAGGGATGTGCAGTCTAAGCTATGGTAAACGTGGGGTTACTGGGATAGGGTGTCATAGAGTCATACAGCACAGAAACAGACCCTTTGGTCTAACTAGTCCATGCTGACCAAGTTTTCCAAACTAAAGTAGTCCCTCTTGCCTGCATTTGGCCCATATCGCTCTAAACCTTTCCTATTCATGTACCTGTCCAAATGTCTTTTAAATGTTGTTAGTTACCTGCATCTACCACTTCCTCTGGCAGATTATTCCACATATGAACCAGTGGGGTCTCTGGGTCTGGATGGGATACTCTTTCGAGGGTATTAGTGGACTCAAAGGGCTGAATGGCCTCTTTCTGCACTGTAGGGATTCTATGAATCTGTTGCCTCTTGTTTGACATCACTCAGTCCCTGCAACGCTGCAGGATACCCGTCTGAAATCTTCCATTGGCTGTTCTTTCTTTCTTCACTGTGTATGCAGCTATTCATTTGTTATTGATACACATCCAAGCAAATGGCCCTTGAGGGGTGAAATTTCTATTTTACCACACTACCAGCAGTTCCAAAACCTTTCATCAGACGATTACCCTGTCAACATAACTGCAGAGATACTTAGTTTTGGGACATTAAGCAATCAGACAGAAGATGGGAAATGGC